GACGTGTACAACCCTTACATCTGCGAATTGATTTTTGGGGAAAATCTGAAAAATAAATACAATCAATTAATCAGGTATTTGACGTGGCGTCGTCGTCGGACAACTCCCAAGTGGCAGCTGGTGGAGCCGACAAATGTCTGACCGTTTTTGATGTAGAGACCGGCAAGATTTTGCGGAGGTGGAGAGCAGCACGCTGGTGAGTTTTATACGACCCATGAGCCAATGTACAAAACTTGACGAAGGCGTGGCCACCGCATGAAGGTGCATGCCTTGCACGCGGCATCGGACGTCTGCGTGGTACCATGGTGCAGGTCCGTTCGTTATTTAGTTTCTTCCCGCTTGCGCCTTCTTCCACATATCGATTTTATGTGTTTATCCCATGGATCATACCTAATTTAATGATGAACGAGTTGATTCAAAGGACATTAATGCTGTGTTCATCTGAAATTTCTACATTCATTCTTAATCTTCGACGCCCTCGCGCAATCGCGTCTGCCTTACACGGCTGAAAACTGAACACGCAAGCTATTATCAAGCTTAACATTGTTACTGGTCACTTTTTATTTGATTTTTTTGAATCTGGTTGCTTCGCGCTTTCTCAAATATATTTATGCTCAGCACGAGTGAATGCCGTCGCTTTCAACGAGGAGTCCATACGTGTGTTTCTGGGTTCGACGGACTGTACAAGCTATGCAGGCGTTTGATAATCGAAGCCGCAGCGATAAAGCGATACAGGTGAGCATCCAAGCAAGGTTGTGCCCATCAAATATATGAACGAATGTTCCTACCAGGGATCGTGTTCGTGCTCAGTGATAGAGATCGCATCAGCATAATTAGGGGGGAATTTTAACGTCCGTAAGCAGTTTAGGTAAACTGTACAGTCAAGTTTTATACTCAGCCCCTGTTTCTCTATTCGCTTCGTACCAAAGCAGGTGGTTCGAACATTGACGGGGAAGAGAGGTACGCTATGTTTATCATTACCCTAGAAGGGGCGCCGGCGACGAGACGAGGCGCATTTTGCTGTGAAGGATGCGCTCGCAGCGACCTGGCAGAACCTTTTCGGCGGCGATGAAATCCCATCACATCTGTCCACGCCCACCGATTTGCTACCAGCTTTGCTCCCTCGTCCGAACCCTAGCCGTTGTTGGAGGGAGGCAGAGTAGAGTGGTATCAGCACTGATGAATCTCTCTTGACGCAGAAATCTATGGATAAACAAGGCGTTTAGAGGATTTATGCCGTTACCACGGGTTTTTCATTTACTGGTGCACCGAGCAGCTCGTTTCCATTCCCAGTAGGCTAACAATTTATCGTGCTATCTGCCTTTAGGGCTACTCACTTGATTGTATAGCGGAAGTGAAATAGGGGCATACCCTTTGCTGAAAAACCGGCTTCGTCCCACACCCTCAGGGTGACCGCCTGTCTTCCGAGTAGGTATATTCCCCTTCTTCGACCCCCGACGTGGAATCCTTTAAAATACAAATATGCTCTATTGCAGCCCTACAAATTTCAATCTTTACCTAGATTTTCAACGAGGCGACGGACAGTGTGCTCAGTATAGACATAAATGGCGGAGAAATAGTTGCCGGCTCAGCTGATGGCAATTACCGATTGTACAGTATCAGGGAGGGGAATGTGAGTTTGCTGTCTTCTGCATTGGGTTTCATAGTCGATTTTTTAGTAGCTAATCTTCTCCAAAAGTGTTCCGATTTCCGAGCAAAGTAAAGCCCTGAATGGGCAGAATTTTTCGATTTATTGTGGAATTGAGCCGCCTTCTTGACGAAATCCTGACGATTCTCGATTCTGAATATGTGAGTGCGGATCCAATTCCCGCCTGGGGCCTAGAGTTTTGCCTATATTCCAGCATTCTTGTTATAAGAATCTGGGATTGTTTCTCCTCTTTTATGTGCGTGGACTACTGTTGTAGCTGCTTATTCCTGTTTCCATATAAGGAATGGCCGGCTTTTCCGGTCACCTGTGGCTGAGATAAAGGATAAAGGATAAAGCATTCGCCGTTGATCAATTCCGTTTTGGGATGCCTATACAATTGCGGGGGCCAGCCGATGTACAAGTCAGTGTTTTTATCCTCCCAGACAAGTCTGGTACCAATTAACCGACCCCGGAGGGATGGAAGGCTTGGTTGGCCCGGGCGACTCACGACCCAGGATTTGATCCCCGGACCGCTGGTAAGCGTGCCACTTGCCACTACACCACTTCCGCCCCTGAGATACAAATAAATAATTAAATAATTAAATGAATAAATAACTAAATAAATGGTAAATATAAATTCACAACTCTCTGTGATCTCTGCTCAAAGTTAGATGTCACGAATTGTGAAAAATTTATAGGTATTTGATATTTAGCTCAACTCAGAAAAGCGGTTTCAGGTCCATATTGATTTTATGGGTGAAAGTGTGAATAGCGTTCATTTCACACCGGATTCGAATTGTGTACTGGCATCAGTTCAGAAGATGGCAATGTACGGCTTATGGATAAGTCGAATGGCAAAATGTTAGCCAGGTGAGCTACTCATGCTATTTTTTCACCATGGGTTTTTTTTTTACTATGGTTATGCCCATTTTAGTTATACTGGTCATAAAAATTCTGGAATACAAAGTGGATAGCTGTGTAATGGCTCGATAGAAGAAGTAGTGTCGGGCTCTGAAGACGGGTTTGTATACGTCTGGAGGTGAGTCATTTTTGAGTGAATTTTGAAAAAAAAACCCTTTCGAATAGGTGAATCTATGTTAGCGCTTGGCTGCACGTCACGTCAGGCAACTTCCATTCGGAAATCGTAAGCGAATTTTGATATCATATTTGTCAGAATACAAATTACTTTGGAAAGAACCTACTTGATATTTCGTAGCTCCGAAACAAACTCTTTTTGGCTAATCGATCAATAGTCAATCGGGCAACATAGGAGAGTAGAAAGCCTGGTTGAGCTGGGGGAGATCCAGCCGGGCAGCGGGCTATGCATTTGATTTTTGTCACGCAAATTGATTGATTAATTTTTCTATGAAACAATGATGGGACTTTGTCACTATCCCATTTCTGTTCTATAGAAACCATTTGGTCAATTTGTGCGATAAAAGGAGACGAATTATTCTGTATTGACCAACCCCTTCTTGGAATGCGCCACCCACTCCACTTCCATTTAGGGACGTGGATGCGATGTGGCCTACATAAGAATCTGGAGGGTGTGGGGCAGGCGATGTATAAGTCAGTGTTTTTGCCCTCCTGGGCAAGTCTGTTACTAGTCAGCAGTCCTGGAGGGATGGAAGGCTGGGTTGATCGGGTATGCACACGATACTGGATTCGATCCTCGAACCACGCGTGTGGTCAGCAACGCCTGTTGCCACTACACCACTCCCGCTCATTCACTTCATATTTTACACTTTTGAAGTTTTGACTTTCTGAAGCTCAAATTTGGCACCTTCCAGTTTACTCGACAGCAATGTAGTAGCGAAATTGGAGCATCCGTCGAAAGTGGTTCATTCATTGTCAGCTCATCCAAAAAAGCAACATCTCCTGACAGCCGCAGGGCAGTTGGTCTACTTATGGGTGGCAAAGAACGACGAAGATTTTGAGTGCTGACCCTGCCGTTAGCACTCAGGATATCTCCGTTTTCCCTGCTTGGCTCCATTTTTGTTAATTGTTGAAAATTCCGATTGTTACTGTACGCTGTACTCTAATAAAAAATAAACACATGTTCTATTGCTTTCGTTTTTTTGACCCCATTATGCACTTGTCGAATTGTTCCTAGTTCGGCGCCTCAGTTGCTGCTCCATAACAATTAGGCGGGCGATAATACTCAACATTTTTGAAAATGAGAAGATCAGGAGATCCAGAGATCTATCCGATAAAAGCTTCATGGCACTAACAAGGAAGGTCGTTCAGAGTGTGCTAAGCTTTTTCAAAACGGTCTTTTGCTTCATAACACAAAACCATGGTTAATTTTTCCTGAACGGCCTCTGAATACCAGAAAAGGGGTCCCTAGTCACACCTTTTCACCAGTTTTTCAATCAAAGTCTATTTGTAAGGGTTACTGACGTTCCTAATCATGAATTTGGTACTAATTATTCATGCTAACTCCATTTTGCGCGAATTTGGAAACGTCAACACGAAATGCAAAAACTTGTCACCACGAGGAATCGAACTAGGGACCCCTTTTCTGGTATTCAGAGAGCCGTTCAGGAAAAATGAACCATGCTTCTGTGGTCCCCATATGTGCCCCAATGTCATGCAAGAAACCATTTTGAAAAAGCTTGGCACACCCTGAACGACCTCCCTTGTAAATCTCAAGGCGTGTTGTGGTAGGTATGTACTATAGCACAAAACATTGTTGTTGCTATGCATATTTATATAGCTATATGCTATATACAGAAGTATTAGACAGAGTGGTATAGCGGGATAGAGAATGCTCAGGGTCGCACCTTCACTCTCAAGTCTCGGCCGCCGGCGCCAGTCTTCTTCGCTACCGTAATCTGAGGCCACGCCCCTACATAGATGATGTTGGCCCGGCAGATTGGATACGAAAAGATTAGAAAAGATTGGATACGTATTGATTAATTCGACAAGAAATCGTAATCCTAGCCTCATTCTAACAATCAGTAGTATTTTTGGCTGACTAAACTCTAGCAACAACCCATTAGTATACGACGCGTACTTAGAAGCCTTACCCCTGCATTCTAGTCTGCAGAATTTGGCATGTATAACTGTATACTCCATGGACCGCAATTTCAACCGTGACATGCTAGTCACACCTAGGTCCTGATAGGCCGGCTAAAATTCTTTGAGCAGCCACGAGCTGGTCGTGGGTCGACAACTCAAAAGAACAAGTGGGCCATTATGCCTATTTTTTATAATGTTCGCAATTCTCTTGCCCACATAATATAAAATCTACCTGTGCTCAATTTTGGTCTGGCCTGGACCACTTACAGTTATGATATTTCATGTTTATACATATTTTATACAGCTACTCCAAATATTTGTGCTTGATCGATCATCCTGGTATGCCCACACCGACGTTCCCTCCCACACCGACAAGCGATGGCGCCGGTCGATAGTGGGGGATTTTGATGCGTCCTTCCTAAAAAGTGCACTGTATGAGTGTGTTCATCACATTCATGGCATGGAACGAAGAGGAATCGAATTTCTATTCAAATATTTTTGTAAACACAATGGACAATATTAAATATGAGCGCTCAGCGAAGTGAATGGATTAAGTGAATAGGGAAGTCGCTCCCTCTCGTGTCTTTGGGGGAGTCTTTGGGAGAGATTTATTCGAATATGGACATTCCAGGACCTAATTGCCTACACCACAATATGCTGTCTAAGATGTTTCGCCTCCCACTTACATACTGTCAACACAACTCTTTGTAGTAGCAACAGGGTCAGGGAGGGATCGTGAGAGGAGCCGGAGTGTCAGATGTAATCGCTCAGGGATAGGGATTCGCGCGGCCCCACACTCTGAATGATTGACCGCTTTTGCTACTAACTATGAGGGTCAGGCAACCATCACCGGAGTGAATATTTCAAAATTCCACCAGCCGCTCTCTTTTTCATGGGCCCATTACTACCTTCCTCCTTTTAGTTGGCTTGATCCAATCACTCCTCCTATCCCTGTGCGTTGGTCTCAGTTAAACTTCAACGATGTGGGTTGGTGCCAATGGGCCACTGAACCTCCATTACCTAACACAGTCGAACTCCACCATCAAACATTTCTTCCTTTAAAATTGGAAGTGGGTTGGGGGGGCACAAACGCAGCTCTTGACAGCCAATTCTACGCATTTCCGTCCACTTCGCCATATTTATTTTATCACCATGCCCTCTTGCTGTCTGGAAACCTCCCCTGCGCCCGTTCCAGAAAACAGCGATCCCTTACGCGGACGCGCGGTCCTGGCCAGAAAAAAGGAGGCTCCAAGTTTCATGAAAGGGGTACAAGACTCTGCATATATACGGTCTGCTTCCAAAAACGAGGGAACCGTCGAGTGCAGACCACACACCACAAGTAACGACGACCTCCACAAATTGTGAATGTGTTTTTACCAATGAATTGGTTAGGCGGTTGCAGTTGTATTCCATAAATTGTCACTGATACAACTCCTATTTACCAACTATTAGTTATTGCTATGAACCACTAGTTACCAGATGTACTTGGAGCCTGTCGTCACCTGTGATGTGTGGTCCTGCACTAAACGCGATCATTTGTTCGGAGCCAGGGTAGCAGTGAAGCTGCCAGCTATTGCGGTGAGTCTTCGAATGCATTTTCTCTCTTCAGAATATGCTCTCCTCCCTTCTCTCGCACCTCAGAGTGCAGGCCTTTCGGAATGTCACCTTATGTACTCTCTTCAGAACCATCTCTCTCCCTTCGCCCCCCTCCCCTCTTCCTCACCCCTCTGGCTTCAGGGATCCCACCACAGCCGATTCTTTCTAAACGACCGTAAAATGAGAACCATTGAATTGTACTCACACGAACAGCTTGCCAATATTTTCGTGCACGATCGGCGACTATATTGGATTTATCGCCATCATAGTCATTCAGTGATTGGAATTGCCCCTGAAAAATCCAATAAAATAGACATATCAACACAGACGCTAACAACAAATGATTTATTGACATAGTGACACATATTCAAAGCAATTGACCTGGGCAGCTGGATAAATTCACCACGTATTCTTCGCGAGACGATTTCAGAAAAAGAAAGCGTAGGCTTGGCTTCCTGACTGCTGTTCTGGCGCTGAACAGCAGCGGTGAGCGTGGTTACGACAACAGGCAGCCTTTGGCTATGGTGAGCTCCTCCTAGGATGCGCCACGCACTTAACTTCCGTTGGGAAGTATATTGGCGTTTGGATGTAATTTGGCACATACCATAGCTTGCAAAGGTCAGCCGCTGTATAGATTAGTCAGTTTTGCGATCCTTCTAGAAAAGCGTGGTACCATTTAAACGACCATGGATGGAAGATTCTCTTGACTCGACCGGCATACAATCCAGAATCTATCTCAGGACCGTGAGCGTGGTATGCGGCGCCACATGCTCCTACACTACCCCCACCCCTGGGGAACAGATTATCCGTGCATATCTCAGATCTCTTATTAGATCAAGCGAGAGGGATGAAATGGTCAGGTAATAAGCACTGGATTCAATCCTGGATTTGACCCACAGGCCATAAGCACGGTAATGACGCCACATGCTACTACACTACCTCCCATCTGAATTACATGTCAAAGGCACGCAATTCACTCTGAAAAACACAGTCGCGATGATCGATTAACTCAAAATCATCACCTTTTGCATTTGATACTTATTTTAGGGATAGTAGAAGGTTACCCAGGTACTCACAACAACGCTCACAACAACACTGGCCGGCCAATTGTGCACAGCATGTTCGCATTCTTTAAGCCCCATATCGCTTAAAGCTTCACCATGCGATCGCAGCCATCACTCAGAACCGGCATAACGTTCAAATGCATATCTGATATATGCAATGACGTGAAAGAGCTAGTCTAATGGTAAGTGCATGTCTGTATCACTTCTCCTTCCCTACCCCATCCCACTTAAAGGCAAGATTCAGCTTAAACTGATGAGGTAATTCCACTCAAATGTGATGTAGGGGTGGGAGGTGGACCGCCAGTGGAGAAAAAAGGAAAAAAAATCGTGAAATACACAGGAAATACGAGCTCTACGCTGCGGAGAAGTTCAAAAGGCCGGCAGGGAGATGAGAGATAATGTGAGCGCGGAGAGCGGTAGAGAAGTCCGAGAAGAGAGAGCATAGCAGATCAACATTGCGACGCAGACAAGATATCGAGCGGTGGGCGGAGCGTGTCGCAACAGGTGGAGCGTGTCAAAGTCCTTGGCCCCTAGCGCCTTAGTGACGCATTTCGATGCGGGAACTTGGCGAGTCGCCTGCAGTTGCGTCCCATGCACTTCTAGCCACTTTAAGGGCTTATTAGGTGGGTCTGAGCCCGAACTTTGCCTTTAAATTGTGATGTTCTTTTAGAAGAGCAACGAGAATCATGATGGCACCTACGAGAAACGCCACGAGTAGGACCCCCTACAAACATCATTTGGATATGGGAGGGAGAAAGCGTCTTTGAATGCGTTTTTTCCAACTTATGATTTTATTCAT